AAGACTACAAATCTCCAATGAAAAGTCTAGCAGTCCAATATGAAAATAAATCAAAAGTATGAACTGCAAATTCATAGATGTGAGATGGCAATGATATATAAAAGGTGACATGGAAAATCTGGGAAATTGAAATTGTCAACAAGTAATATCCCTACAAATAATTTGTAGATCAAATAATCTGGTAGGACTAATTTTTAGGGAGTATAATATGGAAATACCATTTAAATAAAATTTATGCACACTGTTTTATATTATCTGTCATGCAGAAAGACTTCCACATGTTCATAATTACATACTGAATATTCCCACTAGCACTTAAATGGCTATCAATTTGTGAACACATTTATCTATAACATAGGTATGAGTTATACAGCCATACAGAAAACAGGTAATTATGGGCAATATTGTTAAATACTCTCCATGTCACATTACTAAACAAATAAAAAGAGGTAGAAATTCTAAAAAAAACTAAACATGAGACTCATCTTTGGAAATAAAATTAAACATATGTTTTCTAAATATATGTAAATTTGTACACCACAGAGGAAACGATCTTTAAAATGCATTGAATTTCCAATAACTTCCAGATGTTCAAGGTGGTTTTAGAAAAGGCAAAGGAACCAGAGATCAAATTGCCAACACCTGCTATATCATTAAAAAGCAAGAAAGTTCCAGAAAAACATCTATTTCTGCTTTATTGACTAAGCCAAGGCCTTTGACTCTGTGGATCACAATAGACTATGGGAAATTCTTCAAGAGATGGGAACAGCAGACCACCTGACCTACCTCTTAAGAAACTTGTATGCAGGTCAGAAAGCAACAGTTAGAACTGGACATGGAACAACAGACTGGTTCCAAATAGGAAAAAGAGTACGTCAAGGCTGTATGTTGTCACCCTGCTTATATAACTTATAAGAGGAGTACATCATAAGAAACACTGGGCTGGATGAAGCACAAGCTGGAATCAAGTATTCCAGGAGAAATATCAATAACCTCAGATAAGCAGATGACACCACCTTTATGGTAGAAGGTGAAAAAGAACTTAAGAGTCTCTTGATGAAAGTGAAAGGGAGAGTGAAAAAGTTGGCTTAAAGCTCAACATTCAGAAGACTAAGATCATGGCATCCAGTCCCATCACTTCATGGGAATAGATGGGGAAACATTGGAAACAGTGGCTGACTTTATTTTGGGGGGCTCCAAAATCACTGCAGATGGTCATTAAAAGACACCTACTCCTTGGAAAGAAAGTTATGACCAACCTAGATAGCATATTAAAAAGCAGAGATGTTACTTTGCCAACAAAGGTCCATCTAGTCAAGGCTATGGTTTTTCCAGTGGTCATGTATGGATGTGAGAGTTGGAATGTGAAGAAAGCTGAGCGCTGAAAAATTGATGCTTTTGAACTGTGGTGTTGGTGAAGACTCTTGAGAGTCCCCTGGAGTGCAAGGAGATCCAACCAATCCATCTTCAAGGAGATCAGTCCTGAGTGTTCATTGGAAGGACTGATGCTGAGGCTGAAACTCCAATACTTTGACCACCGCATGCGAAGAATTGACTCATTGGAAAAGACCCTGATGCTGGGAGGGATTGGGGGCAGGAGGAGAAGGGGATGACAGAGGATGAGATGGCTGGATGGCATCACCGACTAGATGGACATGACTTTGGGTAAACTCTGGGAGTTGGTGATGGACCACCTGGCGAGCTGCGATTCATGGGGTTCCAAAGAGTCAGACACGACTGAGAGACTGAACCAAACTGAACTGAACTGGACTGCAACACTGACTACTGACAGTAGTTTAGTGTATCTTTTATTAACAATATGTTGGATTAACATTATCAAAATAGAAAATATTTAAGAGATCCTGTATGAATTTTGATATTATAATGGGATTGTGGGCAGGAAGATAAACCATCAAATTCTGCTTTGTCATTTGTTCCTTCTCATTGAAGGACTCTTGAGGACACAGTAAACATACAAATATTCTCAAGAGTTAAATTTTAACAGTAAGTGCAGTAGCACAAAGACATTATGCAATAGTGATAAAAGTATGGAATGCATCATGCAGATTTTACTTGCTAGATAATCCTGGCCCCTTTCATTTCCCCTAAATTTTAAAGTAGCCCTATCAGTGTGTTTGCAGGTTGCTATTCAGAGAAAAGATGGTCAGGGCTCCCCAAGAAACCTCCAGATCCCATCCAGACACAGTGACTTAGTGATTTTGGAGCCCAAAAAAGTAACGTCTCTCCCTGTTTCCTCTGTTTCCCCATCTATTTGTCATGAAGTGATGGGACCGGATGCCATGATTTTAGTTTCTTGAATGTTGAGTTTTAAGCCAAGTTTTTCACTCATCTCTTTCACTTTCATCAAGAAGCTCTTTAGTTCTTCTTCACTTTCTGCCATAAGGGAGGTGTCATCTACATATCAGAGGTTATTGATATTTATCCCAGCAATAACTCTGCATATATGTTAAATAAGCAGGCTGACAATATACAGCCTTGACGTACTCCTTTCCCGATTTGGAAACAGTAGCTGATTACACATGTATTTATCGTGTATATCAAAAGATGTAAAAGATGTGTATCAAAATATATATTAATGAGTGGATATATAACAATCTTCTATAACAGAAGCCAGTAAATATCAATTTTGAAATTTAGGACTAGTATAAAAAATAAAATTATAAAATATATAATAAACTTAAATTTTGTAAAACTTGTGAATTCTGAATTTTTGTCAATGACATGTTTAAACCTGTGAAGTTGAGGATTGAAGGGGTATAAAAGTTAAGAAAGTTAGAAAAAAATAAAATAAAGAAATAAAGTATGCCAGTTATTACAAATTTCCCAATGTCATTTTGCTTTAGAATAAAGACATCTAATAACGTTTTAAAATATCTGAATTTGACAATGAAAACATCGTTTGTCTATGCCATCGTGTGTGAATGGTCATGATTATATTCCATAGCTGATTGAATGTAGTAATAAGTAGGTAAAATGTAAGTATTCCTCCTGATGTCAGTGCATTAGTAGTTATCCTTGCTTAAGATCACGCATCCTTTTTTCCTTACAAGCCATGTGAAAGACATTTAATTAGTTATCTTTCAACCTCTTGAGTTCTAATGCTATAACTTTAAACTCGTTGAATAAGGTATTTTCATTACCCTAAAAGGTTCTATGGAGATAAGATGGCAAAAAACCAGACACCTTAGGACCCAACACTCATCTGTATAACCCAGAATGAACTTCTTGGTAAATATTGACAGAACAAATGCTAAAAACATGATTAAAGCTGAGCAGAATGATAGTACTTCAATAAGAAACAAACTTATCAAGTGTTTATTATTAAAACATTCAGAAAGAAAACTTTACTTCTGTGTTTTTACTCCCAACAATAGAGGGGAGAAGGAAAATATATCATAGTTGGCACTGTATTCTACCTGGCCATGTCCCTTATGCCCAGAATTAAAATATCTTCATTTTGCCTGTAATTGCTTCTAACAGTGAATAGCTTAATGGGTTATTGTTCTACCTCTGAATTATTTCCTTACACCTATTGGTTCTCCTGTGTGGGAGTATTTTAAACACTACTGATAAATAACAGCTTCTTATTTATTACCAGTGACTCTCCATTTTCTACAGAAAAAAAAAAAATCCACAATCATTTTCATGAAGTGGTAGCATATTTCTTAATAAAATGAAGATTCTCCTTTCTTTGGTTCCACTGCCACTACAATTACAATTTCTGTGACCTTGACACCATTCTCATCAGATTAAATGACTTCTTTAATCTTTAAGAGAATATATTTCTGAATGCCTGCTTTTATGCATATGTGGTTTGTTTACGCAGAGTGTTCTTTAAGAAGTTCATCTACCAATCTTGAATTCACTTGTGAAGTTCAAGTGACAAAGCACTTCTTTCATGAAGTCTTCACTTATCTCTCCAGCAGACAGGACTTTCTGGCTGTGAGTTCTGAAAGCAATTTAAATGCAGTTTCCTGTGTGTAACCATCTGTTATCTTTAAAACACACAGCTTTTTAAAGTGCTTTATAATGCCCATTTCTCATTTTATTCTGAATTATAATTAACAGTTTTACCAAAGGCACTCAATGCTAGGTCATCCAAAACCCAAAGGCTTTATAACTCACGATGGAACCAATGGCACTTAAGAGGCCATCTACCATGAGGTTCCTATGGTGGGCTTTCCTGTGTTTGCTGATCAACCTGATAACATCGCCTGACGGACCACAGCACACCAGGCTTCCCTGTCCTTCACCATCTCCCAGAGTTTGCTCAAATTCATGTCCATTGAGTCAGTGATGCTACCCAACCATCTCATCCTCTTTCCTCTCCTTCTGCTTTAACTCCTCACTGTCATCAGTAGGCAGATCGTTCAGACAAAAAAACTATGTGGCAATAGTGATCATAAATTATACAACTGACCAGTCAAATTTCATTGATATCTTTAGTATTAATGCGTTACACTCAAAAAATCAGAACACACATCCTCAGTCTTTGCAGACTGCAGGATTTATGCTGCTTTTTCCTTTTAGTCCAGAACTTTCCCAAAATAATTTACATTGGTTTGCAGTTGGTCATTTACTGTTTTTGCTGTTTCTCTGAGGGACACAATTGTTGTGACCTCATAACCCTCCATCTTGTTGATGTCACCGTATCTCTAATTCTGTGTCACAGCGACTGCAGACACAAGAGTCTCTCACTTGCTATTGTTTTACACTAGTCTTCTTTCTCACAAAATATAATTGATGTGTGTGTACAAGATGGGTGACAGCACTGACAAATCAATACTAAACACACTGTATCATCTCGAAGTGTTCTGCACTTTGTCTTTTCACTTGATTTCCACATCTGCTGACTATTCATGTAATCTATTTTTCTAAGGAATAGGAGTTATAATTTAACTTCTGGTTGATTTCTTCTGGATATAAGCTTGAGCAATAGCAAAGTTTACAGTAATTATTTAAAAAGTACTACATATGAGCAAGATGTCTATGAAAAGGCTCTCGCTTCTGCTGCTGCTACAGCTGACTTGCTACTTTAGCGCTGGGAGTTGTGGAAAGGTGCTAGTGTGGCCAGTGGAATTTAGTCACTGGCTGAATATAAAGACAATTCTGGATGAACTTGTCACGAGGGGTCATGAAGTGACTGTTCTGATATCTTCAGCTTCCACTCTGACTAATTCCAGCAAACCATCAACCATGAAATTTGAGACTTTTCCTGTATCTTTAACAAAAAATGATTATGAGAATTTTATAGAGTTTCTTCTTGAGAAATTGATGTATGCAGCGAAAGGTTCCTTTTGGACCTATCTTTCAGCAGTGAAAAGTTCATTTTGGAAATTTTTTGATATTTCTATAACTATGTGTAAAGAGGCTGTTTCCAACAAGAAATTAATGACAAAACTAGAGGAATCAAGGTTTGATATCCTTATTGCAGATGCCGTTGGACCCTGTGGTGAACTGCTGGCTGAATTACTTAAAATACCATTCGTGTACAGTCATTACAGCTCACCTGGCCATATAATTGAGAAGAATAGTGGAAGACTTCCATTCCCACCATCTTATGTACCTGTTATGTTTTCAGAATTAAGTGATCGCATGACATTCATGGAGAGGATCAAAAATATGTTATATACACTTTATTTTGACCTTTTCTTCCTGACATACAATGAGAAGGAGTGGAATCAGTTTTACAGTGAAGCACTAGGTAAGTTGGGCTTCCTGATAGCTCAGTGGTAAAGAATCTACCTGCCAATTCAGGAGACACAGGTTTGATCCTTTGGTCAGGAAGATCCCTTGGAAAAGGAAATGGCATCCCATTTCAGTGTTTTTGCCTGGGAAATCACATGGACAGAGAAGCCTTTTGGGCTATAGTCCATGGATTTGGAAAGAGTCAGTTACCACTTAGCAACAAACAACTAGGTAAGTCATGTTTTTAGTTGGTTTCATTAAGTCCTATTTTTCCTAGTGCCTTGGAAGTGGAGTTTGTATAAATATAAATTCACAAAATTTTATCTCAAATAAGTGAAACAGTTAAATAATAAAAGAAAATGACCCTCAATCTAACAAATATTATGCAAACACTTAAATTATAGGGTAGGGTAAAGTGCATTACTAGGATCGGATACCAGGAAGTCATTTACCACAAATTGAAGTATCTAGGACTTCTGCAAGTGACTATCCAACCTACAAAATTCCTCTTTTAATTTAAAGTCTTTAGGAACCTCATAAACTGTCTCAATAAATGAAGACATGTACATTGAGAGTTATACACATATTTGTAGTACTAATATCCAGTTAGCCTTTAGAAATTATTTCTACTTGTGTAAAAAAGGATGTATTCCAGATCTACTTTATTATCCTAGACTATGCTATGTTATATATTTATCAAACAACAGACATATTAAAACATCTTTGGCCACAACATCCCAAGTTGTTTTACAAACATTATCTAATGTACACACATGACAGTAGTCTCACTTGATCAAACATTTGTTGTTCATTTTCTTTTTACTTTCAGGAAGACCTACTACCTTATCAGAGACAATGGGGAAAGCTGAAATGTGGCTCATTCGAACCTACTGGGATTTTTCATTTCCTCGTCCACGACTCCCAAATGTTGAATTTGTTGGAGGCCTCCACTGCAAGCCTGCCAAGCCCCTGCCTAAGGTCACCTACTCCTCCTTGGTGTTCTTTGTGAATGTTGTGTTTTCAATAGGAATCATTCTGTATTCTTTCTTTGGAATGTTTGATTATAGGTAGTCAGATGTGGGAACCTGGATAAAGTGACCTTCCACCTAGAAAGTGATGTATTTCTATATCAACACAACTATCTGAATTTCATTATCATTACAGAATAAACTCCCTAGAGTTCATGGGACACATTAATAATATGTCAATTAAGTTACAACTTCATTATTCAACACATAGAGAAGCATCATTCATTAAAGGACACATATTATTTTTTATATAAAAATATATATTTTATATAAATAAAATAATACTATATTATCATCTGGTGATGCCATCCAGCCATCTCATCTCACTATAATATGTTACATTACTATTTTATTATAATTATTATAGGATAATTTTGTATATAACATATTCCAGAAGTGAAAGCTAAATATAGGCAAATGGTGTAGGCACAGTTTCTACCACCTGACAGTCCACCTGGAATGACAGAACACAATCAAATTGTAAAAAATGTTACAATATGGAAAGACCAGAGTGTTAAAGAAATATTCAGCAAATCATAGAAAGGATCTCTGATTCATAGACAACTATGATATCTGAAGGATGCTCAGGAATAAACAGAAGGAATAGGGCAGGGGTGGAAGAAGATACAGGCTTCCCTTATAGCACAGTTGGAAGAAGATATAAAAGAAAGGTAGGTGCAGTAGTAATGACAGTTGCCAAAAAGTCCAAGTTTAGTCTAGAGAAGAAAAGGCTGAATAAAGAAGAAGATGATGCTGATGAGGTAAGTTGGAAACAGATAATTATAAAGAGTTGAGACATCTAGTAGAGGCATTGGGAAGAATATTGAAGGGATTAAGAAAGAAAGAGATGGTGGTGGTGGTTTAGTCTCTAAGTCGTGTCCGACTCTTGCCATCCCATGGACTGTAGGCTGCCAGGTTCCAATCTCCATGGGATTCTCCAAGTGTGAATACTGGAGCAGGTTGCCATTTCCTTCTCCAGAGGATCTTCCCAACCCAAGAATCGAGCCCCAGTCTCCTGCATTGCAGGCAGATTCTTTACCGACTGAGCTATGACAAAAGCACTGAGAAAGAGATAGTCATATATTATGTAAAAATAAAAAGCAAGATGTAGTCATTGGGTTGGATTGTAAATGGTTAACAGTAGGAAGAGACCATTTAGCAGATTGTTGCTAGATACAGACAATAATGAGTGAAAACTAGAGTACGGTGTTCCCAGAGATATCACATTAACTCATTTTTTTTTCTTTATTTTAAATTAATTAATTTATTTTAATTGGAGGATAATTACATTACTGTGGTGGGTTTTGCCATATATTGACATGAATCAGGATGATTTACTTTAAATAAATTTAAATAAATCTCTGGGTTAGGTTAAAAAGATATATTTATATATACATCATATACATTTATATTGTTGGAAAAAGTCATTTATTTTAGCTAGTGCACTGGTGAAAAGCCTTAAAACTTACAAAAATACTTTAGTATTTCATCTTCTTCATCTGACCACCAAAACCTTAAAAATTCATAACATTAAAAAAGTTTACATTAAATGCTGCTGCTAAGTCACTTCAGTCATGTCTGACTTTTTGTGATACTATGGACTGTAGTCCTCCAGGCTCCTCTGTCTACAGGATTCTCCAGGGAAGAATACTGGAGTGGGTAGCCATTCCCTTTTCCAGGAGATCTTCCCGACCAAGGGATTAAATCCTGGTTTCCTGCACTCCAGGCAGATTCTTTACCGTCTGAGCCACTAGGAGAGGCCAAACAATGCTAAATTATACTAAATCAGATATAATAAAATATTTACTTGGAAAATACCAAATATAATATTATCACAGTTTTCTTGAAAGTTAAAAAAGCATAAACTAGAGTTACAATTTTCAGGATGTATATCATAGTGTATATTTGATTATAGGAATAGAGTAAAGATTAAAATGAAAACACAAATTTTAGCATAATGTCTTCAAGGTCCACCCATGTCGTCGAAAATGGCAGGATTTCCTTCTTTCTCGTGGGTGAATAACATTCCATTCTGAGCATGTGTGTCTCTGTGTTTGTGTTTATGTCTGTGTGTATCTATGAAACATCTTTAAATAATTCATCCATAGGTGGGCACTTAAGTTTTTTTCCCTATCTAATTGTGAATAATGTTGCAGTCAACATGGGAGCACATATACCTCTTCACTGTCCTGTTTTTATTTCCCTTGACTATATACCTGGAAGTAGAATTGCTGGATCATACAATAGATGTATCTTTAATTGTTTTAAGATCCTTCAATTTATGTTCCATAAGGGCTAAACCAATTTACATTCCCACTGAGAGTGTACAAGCATTCACTTTTCTCCACATTCTCACAACACTTTTTCTTCTTGGTTATAGACTTTCTAATAGGGGTGAGGTAATATCTGATAATATCTGATTGTGATTTTGAAATACATTTCCTTGATGATTACTGATGTTGAGTATTTTTTCTATACCTGGTGATCATTTGGAAATCTTCTTTCTAAAGTGTCTATTTTGTTCATCTGCCCATTTTTTCATTGAATTTTGTTGTATGAGTTGTGTATATATTCTGGATCTTAACCCCTCATTCAATATGTGGTTACAAAACTTTTCTTCCATTCTGTAGATCGCATTTTCATCTTGTAGACTATTTCTTTGGCTGTGCAGAAGCTTCTAAGCTTGATGTAGTCCCACTTGTGATTTGTTGTTGTTGTTGTCATGATGTCATATAGAAAACATCATTTTCAAGATCAGTGCCATGGAGTTTCATCCTTATATTTTCTTTTAGGGATGTTATGGTATCTGGTCTTATGTTTAAGTCATTGATTCATTTTGAGTTGTTTTGGTGATGGTATAAGACAGAGGTCTCTTTTTGTTTTTGTTTTTTTTTTCATATGTTTATCCAGTTTTCTCAGAAAAGAAAGAAGTGACTAATATTTCCACAATGGTTATTCTTGTCTCCCTTGCTTCCTTGTTGAATTTAGTTGAACCCTGTATGCTGTTCCATGGTCTATGTGTCTATTTTGGGACAAGTACACTGTTATTCTAAATATTGAAACTTTGTGGTAAACATGAAATTTCAAGGTGTGATTCTTTTGGCTTTTGCTAATGTCAACATTTTAACAGTATTAGTCTTCTGGTCCACGTCACAAGATGACTTTCCATTTATTTGTGTTTCTTCTATTTCTTAAAACTTCTTATAGTTATCACTGTACTGATCTTTCACTTTACTGATTAAATTCACTTTTAGTTATTTTCTTGCTTTTGATGCTATTGGAAATGGGATAGTTTTTTTTTCAGATGTTTCATTAATAGTACACAGTAATGAAGTTGAATTCTATATAGTGATTTTATATCTTGCAACTTTACTGAATTTGTTAATTCAGGGTTTTTTTGTTGTTGTTCTTCTTGAATCTGTGAGATTTTCTGTACAAAAAAAAAATCATGTACTCTGTAAAAAATAAAAATCTTATTTCTTCCTTTCTATTTAGGATGTCTTTTATTTATTTGTCTCACCTAGTTGTTCGAGCAAGAACTTCTACTACTATACTGAATCAGTGTGGGAGTAGGCATCCTTATTTTGTTTCTGATTAGAGAAAAAGCTTTCAAGTGTTCACTGTTGAGTATAACATTAGCTTTGGGTTTGTCATATATGTTCTTTATTACACTGAGGTATGTTCCTCCTATACCCTATATGTTGAGGGTTTCATCATGAAAGAATGTCATACATTGTCAAATGTTTTATGGACATCTATTGAGATAATCATGTTATTTCATACTTCATTCTATTATCCTTGCATCACAGAAATAAATCTCACTTGATATTAGTATATAATTCTTTTAATGTGTTCTTGAATTTGGCTTGTTGATATTTGTTGAGAATTTTTGCATCAATACTCAGTCTGGATATTGACCTTAGTTTTATCTTCTTGTAATTTCCTTATCTATTTGGTATCAAGATCATGATGATGACCTTGTAGTATGGGTTTGGAAATGTTCCTACCTTCCTCTTTAATTTTTAAAGATTTTTTTTTTAAGATCTGGCATGAATTTTTCTATCATATTTCATAGAATATGTAAGTGAAGCCATCAGGTCCTGGGCTTTTTGTGTGTTGATAGGTTATTGATTACCAATTCAATTTCCTACTTATTAGAACTGTTCAGATTTTCTACTTCTTCCTGATTCGGTCTTGGTAGGTTTTGTTTCTAAGAAGTTCTCCACTCTTCTCATATATGTATTAATAATTTCTTAGCTTATAATTATTCCTCATAGTCTCAGAATCCTATGTATTTTTTCAGTATCAGTTGTAATGTTTTCATTTCATTTCTAATCTTATTTATTTGAGTCACTTTTTTTCTTGATTAGCTCAACTAAAGGTTTTCAATTTTGTTTATCTTTTTGACAAGACACAAAAGGACAAATACTGTAAGATGTCACTTGTAAATGAAATCTAAAAATGCCGAACTTATAATAACAGAGAGTAATATGGTGGTTGCCAGGGCTGAGAGGTGGAAGAACAGAAGAAATGTTGTTTAAGGATACAAATTTGCATTTCTTAGTAAATAAGTACTAGAGATCTAAGGTACAGAGTAGTGAATATGCATACATGCCCAGTCATGTCTGACTCTTTGCAACCCTGTGAACTATAGCCAGCCAGTCTCCTCTGTCGATGGGATTTCCCAGGCAGGAATATTGGGGTGGATTGCCATTTGAAATTTGGAATTATTCTAGTATAGAAAGTAACTTCTTTTTAATCAGAAAGGCTCAAGGACCACAAAGCAAAATAATTCAGAAACGATTCCAGGCAAATACGGATTCACCAGGAGCTTTATTTAGGTAGAAGCGAATTTCTCAAAAGCTGACCAGACCTGTGCTGCAGAAAGCCCTGGACACCTCTTCCTCTGTGGAGCAGGTGTCCCCAGGGGGACTCACTGAAGTCATGCTGAAGGTCCTTCACTGCAGTTAGACATAGCACATTCATCTGTGACATTCATTATACAAGTTCAGGGCAAAGGTATCATATGTAAAGAAACACATCAATATGGTTGCTCAAATAAGTAACTATACAAGAGTAACTTCAGAATATAAACAGAACTCATAGAATTATTTCATAGAACATCCAAGCTATAATAATTGACTCCTCAAGTCAGTAGTTAGTAATTTAGATGGAGAGATTGGAAATCATGACAAAGTTTAAGGTGAAGGATAGGATTACAGAGCTGAATGAATGACATAAAGTGATTAGGATCATTTTTTTTTTCTTAGTGCTCATAGTCAGGAAATGAAATATTAATGAATAACCTAAAATAATTCTCAAAAAGCCTGTCTGGAATACATAAATGATTTAGTAGAACTATGATAACAAAGAAAAAGGGAGTTGAATCCTGCAAGTAACTTCCTTCCAAGAATCTGTTAGTACTTAACATCATGATTAATGAAGATTCTGAGGATAGTATAGTTTAAGAGTATCTTCTTGTCGCTACTGAGTACTGGCTCTATCTTATTTCCTGCTTATACAGAAACACATTTGCACAAATATATATAATGGAAGAAATTGACCTCATATCACCCATTCCTTTCCCAGGATCTCAAGGACGAAAAATGCTTTTTTTTTACAAACGAAAGGAACATTATAAAAAATAATATGAAGTTCCTGAAAAAAAAGTTTTAATGACTTCTTAGTGCTGAATATTTATTAGCACAACTGATCAAAGTCCAAGAGGTGAAGTTAACATGTTCAAGAGAATTGGGGGAGTGGGGTGGGTGAGGGAAGGAAATCACTCTATTAGATAACTGTATAGTATGTCATAAGAATAATGTGCACTTTCTAATATAAAACCTGTCTATGCATAGAGCTCAGCAATTCCTTGTCTCGGTTTATATCCAAAATAATTGAAATTGGGATCTCAATGAGATATCTGTACAACATATGTATGAAAGATCTATTCAAAGGAGCCAAGAGGTTGAAGCAACCCAAATGTCCATCAACAGAGGAAGCAATAAACAAAATGTCATATATACAAACAATGGAATATTACTCACCTTTAAAAGGAAATTCTGACACATGTCACAACATCAATGAACCTTACACTAATGGAAAATAACTAGTCAGAAAAAGACAAATAATGTACAATGCAACTTATAAGAAGTATCCAGACTAATCTCACTTGTAGAAACAGAGGAAAATGAAACTTGCCAAAGGCTAGAGAAAGAGGAAAGTAGAGTTTCTTAATGATCATAGACTTCCAGTTTTGTCCAATGAAAAAGTTCTGGAGATTGGTTGCACAATGTGAGTATACTTAACACTAATATGCTATACACTTAGGCACAATTAAGAAAGCAAATTTTATGCCATGTGTATCTTACTACAATATATTTGTAAGAAATCACTACTCTAGTATCTTGAGAAAATTTCTGATTTTCTCTTTTTAGTTGCTTGTAGCAATTCCTTCAATAATGTGTGCTATGCTGCTGCTCTTTTGTGATGGGGCAAATTCTTTTTTCACAGGAAATGGAAGAGTTTGTGCAGAGCTCTGGAGAACATGGTATTGTGGTGTTTTCTTTGGGGTCAATGGTCAGTAACATGTCAGAAGACAGAGCCAAGGTGATTGCCTCAGCCCTCGCTCAAATTCCACAAAAGGTAGATACAATAATTTAATCGTGGACAACTACTTAATGAGTCCATTAAACTCTGTAAAGATCTGATTTTAGACATTTACTATCTGAAAGGTAAATAATATGATAGCAGCAATTTATCTCATATCTATACATATATATATATGTATATATAAACCAAAATATACACGGCAGGTGCTACTGCACTACAGGGAGTGCCTTTGACCCATGATAAGTTTAATTATTCAACACAGTAATCAAAAAGAGTGATATTTAAGAGACACAGTGTGAATTTTGGTGTTATTAAGACAATGGTAGCATGAGCAGGAAGATTAACCAGTAAATTCTGCTTTGTCAGTTGTTCCTTTTCCTTGAAGGACTCCTGAGGACACAAAAAAACATACAGATGCTCTCGGGAGTTAAATTTTAACAGTAAATGTAGTCATACGATATTGATTCAAGTCAAACAATTCCACTGTTCATTGTTTTTGGAAGTAGTACTTAATAATTTGTAATTTAAAAGAAAATACTTCTTTGACAGGGCTAAGTAACTTATTATTAAAAAATTATGCCGATGTTCTTCCACAATTAAGTTATTTGAATCATTGCAATCCCATGGACTACAATATGCTAGGCTCCTCTGTCCTTCACTATTACCCAGGGTTACCTCAGTTTCATGTCCATTGATTTAGTGATGCTATCTAACCATGTCATCCTCTGCGAGCCCTTCTCCTTTTGCCTTCAGCCTTTCCCAGATCAGGGTCTCTTCCAATGAGTTATCAGCTGGCCAGAGTATTGGAGCTTCAGCATCAGTACTTCCAATGAATATCCATGATTGGGTTCATTAAAGATTGTCTGGTTTGATGTCCTTGCAGTCCAAGGGATTCTCAAGAATCTTCTCCAGCACCACAATTCAAAGGCATCAAATCTTCAGCATTTAACCTTCTTTAAGGACTTCCCTGATGGCTCAGACGGTAAAGCATATGCCTACAATGTGGGAGACCTGGGTTCTATCCCTGGGTCAGAAAGATCCTCTGGAGAAGGAAATGACAACCCACTCCAGTACTCTTGCCTGGAAAATCCCATGGATACAGGAGGCTGGTAAGCTACAGTCCGTGGAGTCGCAAAGAGTCAGACACGACTGAGTGACTTCACCTTATCTTAACTTACCTACCCTTCTTTAATGTCCAACTCTCATATCCATGCATGATTATTGGGAAAAAATATAGCTTTGATTACATGGACCTTTTTTGGCAGAGTGATGTCTCTGCTTTTAATACTCTGCCTTGAATTGTCTTGGTTTTTCTTCCAAGAACAAAGTGTCTTTTCATTTCATGGCTGCAGTCACTATCCACAATGATTTTGGAGCCCAAGAAGAAAAAATATGTCACAGCTCCCACATTTTTCCCCATATATTTGCCATGAAGTGATGGGACCAGATGCCATGGACTTATTGTTTTGAATGTTGGGTTTAAGACAGCTTTTCACTCTCCTCTTTCACCCACATCAAAGTCTCTTAGTTCCTCTTCAATTTCTCCCGTTGGAGTGGTATCATCTGCATATCTGAGGTAGTTAATATTTCTTCCAGCAATCCTGATTCCAGATGTGAGTCACCCAGCCCAGTAGTTTACATGATGAACTGTGCATATGTAGGTTAAATGACCAGAGTGACAATATACAGCTTTTTTGTACTTCTTTCCCTATTTTGAACCAGTCTGGTGTTTCATGTCTTGTTCTAACTGTTGCTCCTCGACTTGCATACAGGTTTCTCAGGAGGCGGGTCAGGTGGTCCGGTATTCCCAACTCTTTAAGAATTTTCCACAGTTTCTTGTGATCCACACAGTCAAAGGTTTAGCATAGTCAATGAAGCAAAAATAGATGTTTTTCTGGAAATCTCCTGCTTTATCTATGGTCTAATGAATGATGGCAATTTGATTTCTGGTTCCTCTGCCTATTCTAAACCCAGATTGCACATCTGGAAATTCTTGGTTCATGTACTGCTCAGGCCGAGTTAAATAATTTTTGAGTCTTACCTTGATAGCATGTGAAAGGAACATAATTTTACAGTAGTTTGAACATTCAGTGGTTTGAGCATTATCCTTCTCTGGGTTTAGAATGAAAACTTGCCTTTTAAAGTCCTGTGGCCACTACTGTGTTTTCCAAATTTGCTGACATATTGAATGCAGCACATTCACAGCAACATCTTTCTTTTTTTTTTTTTTTTCATTTGTTTGTATTAGTTGGAGGCTAATTACTTTACAATATTGTAGTGGTTTTTGCCATACATTGACATGAATCAGCCATGGATTTGAAATACTTCAGCTGAAATTCCACTAGCTTTCTTCATAGTAATACTTCCTAAGGCCCCATTTTCTTCACACTCCAAGATGTTTGGCTCTAGGTGAGTGACAGCACCATCATGGTTATCCACGTTATTAACACCTCTTTTGTATAGTTCTTCTGTGTATTCTTGCCACCTCTTCTTAATATCTTCTGCTTCTGTTAGGTCCATACCATTTCTGTCCCTTATTGTGCCCCTCTTTGCATGAAATGATCCCTTAGTACCTCTAACTTACTTGAAGAGATCTCTAGTCTTTCATATCCCATTGATTCCTCTTTCTTTGCATTGCTCATTTAAGAAGTCCTTCTTATCTCCCCTTTCTAATATATGGAATTCTGCATTCAGTTGAGTATATCTTTCTTTCCCTTTCTCCCTTGGCTTTCACTTCCCTTCTTTTCTCAACTATTTATAAAGCCTCCTCAGATAACCACTTTGCCATCTAGCATGTCCTTTTCTTTGGGATTGTTTTGATCACTGCCTCCTGTACAATGTTACACTCCTCTAGCCACAGTTCTTCTGGATATTCCACAGGCACTCTGTATATCAGATATAATCCCTTGAATCTATTCATCACCTACACTGTGTAATTTTATGGGATTTGATTTCTGTCATACATGAATGGCCTAGCAGTTTTTCCCACTTTCAATTTAAGTCTTTCTTCAATTCAAATCTGAATTATGCACTAAGGTGCTCATGATCTAAACCACAGTCAACTCCAGGTCTTCTTTTGCTGACTGCATAGAGCGTCTCCATTTTCAGCTGTAAAGAATATAATCAATCTGACTTCGATATTGAGCATCTGGCGATGTCCATGTATAGAGTCATCAGTTGTTGGAAATCGATGTTTACTATGACGAGTGTGTTCTCTTGACTAAAGTCTGTTAGCCTTTGCCTGCTCCTTTTACTACTACAAGGCCAAACTTGCTGTTATCCTAGATATCTCTTGACTTCTATTACATTCCAATCCCTATGATGAAAAGACTTTTTCTTCTTCTTCTCCTCCTCCTCCTCCTTCTTCTTTTTCTTCTTCTTCTTCTTCTTCTTCTTTTTTTAGTGTTAATTCTAGAAGGTCTTGTAGGTCCTGCTGAATCAATCAACTTCAGCTTCTTCAGCATTAGTGGCTGTGGCATAGACCTTGATTGCTGTGATGTTGAATGGTTTCCCTTGGAAATGAAACAAGATCATTCTGTTGTTTTTGAGATTGCGCCCAAGCTCTGCATTTCTGATCTTTTTGTTGACTGTGATGGCTACTCCATTTCTTCTAAGGGATTCTTAACCACAGTAGTAGATATAACGGTGATCTGAATTAAATTCACTGAACTTGTCCATTTTAGTTCATGGATTCCTGAGATGTTGATGTTCATTCTTGCCATCTCCTGCTTGATCATGTCCAATTACCTTGATTTCATTGGCCTAACCTTCCAGGATCCTATGTTCTTTACAGCATCAGACTTTCACCACCAGGCACGTCTACAACTGAGCATCATTTCTTCACTGGCCCAGTCACTTCATTCTTTCTGGAACACATAGTAATTGCCCTCCACTCTTTCTCAGCAGCATATTGGACACATTCTGACCTGGAGAACTCATCTTCCAATGTCATATATTTTTGCCTTTTCATATTGTTCATGTGGCTCTCATGGCAAAAATACTGGAGTGGTTGGCCATTCTCTCCTCCAGTGGACCACACTTGTCAGCACACTCCACTATGACCCATTTGCCCTTGGGTTGCCCTGCATAGCATAGCTCATAGCTTCATTGAGTTACTCAAACTGCTTTACCATGACAATGATGTGATCTATGAAGGGGGTACTAAATTATAAATAAGCCAAAATATTAATCTTAAGAGATTGATTGCATACATTTTCCTCTTTGTAATCAAAACATGTAAAATTCTAATAAAATAACTTCCCATTTAACTACTTGATATAATTAAACTTTTATGACAGTCAAAAATAAATAAATCAGTGACCATTGAATCTGAAAATGAGCACTCCATATAAAGAAAGCAAATAAATATGTAGGTTATGTGTAATCTGCCACCGACTTATTGTGTTAGAAACAAAACCAGCTATCCATGGAAGAAAAGTTATGATAAACCTAGACAATGTATTAAAAAGGAAAGACATCACTTTGCCCAGAAAAGTCCATATAGTCAAAGCTATGGTTTTTCAGTAGTCATGTATGTATGTGAGAGTTGGACCATAAAGAAGGCTGAGTGCCAAAGAATTGATGCTTTTGAATTGTGGTGCTAGAGAAGACTCTTGAGAGTCCCCTGGATTGCAGGATCCAACTGGTCAATCCTAAGGAAATTAACCTTGAATATTCATTGGAAGGACTGATGCTGATGCTGAAGCTGCAATAACTTGTCCACCTGATGCAAAGAGATGACTCATTGAAAAAGATCCTGATGCTGAGAAAGATTAAGGGTAGGCGGAGAAGGGAGTGACAGAGGATGAGTTGGTTAGATAGCAACACCGAATCAATGGATATGAATATGAGAAAATTCTGGGAGATAGTGAAAGACAAGGAAGCCTAACATGCTGCAGTCCATGCAGTGCAAAGAGTTGGACACAACTTAGTGACTGAAAAGCAATGACAAAACAGTTTTTAAATATTTGAGTTGGTCATTGAAAATCTCACTTGTCTGTGCCATCATGTGTACACAATTAACACATCAAACATAGGTATTCCTAATTATGTCTTTGTATTAATAGTTACCATTACTTAATATGTCTTCATATCCTTACATGTCATGTGGAAGACATGTAATTCTATGTATTTGAGTCAATTTAGAAATTATTAGTACAACTTTGATGTTCAACTCTTAGAATAAGATATTTCCTTTACCTTTAACAGGTTCTATGGAGATATGATGGCAAAAAACCAGATACCTTAGGACCCAACACCCGGTTGTATAAATGGCTTCCCCAGAATGACCTTCTTGGTGAGACTTGCCAGAACAAATAATGAAAACATGAGTAACAGCTGAGCAGAGTGAGAGTGCTTCAACAGAAAATACACTTACAAAGCAATTATTGAAACACTGAAAAAGAAAACTTTCTTACTTTTTATAATTTTCTTTCCTATGGGAAAAAGGGAGAATATATAAAAGTTGTCATTTTATTCTATGTAATCACATCCCTTACAACCAGAATCTTTACTTTAGCTGTAATTGCTTCTCACAGTGAACTGATCAATAACTTCTGGATTTTTGTTCTGTCTCTGAATTCTTTCCTTATACTTATATTTTCCATTCTGTAGAAGTATGTTAAATGCTACTAAAAATAAGAACTCTCCTGCCATTACCAGTGACTCTCAATTTTCTGTAAGAAATAATTCACAATCATTTCTGTGAAGCAATAACACACTTCAAGATAAAATTTAGCTTTTCCTTCCTCTGGTTCCAGTGCCACTAACATTATGCTTCTTTTCCCCTGACACCATTCCCATTGAAGTAAAAGACTTCACTATATCTCTAGAAGAATAAATTCCCACATGCCTTCCTCCTTGTTTGCACATGTGGTTTCTTTTACACAGAATGCTCTTTCAAGTTGTTCACCTGCCAATCCTGGATTCATTTGTAATGTTGAAGTTACTCAGTGCCTCTTTCACAAAGTCTTCATTTACCCCTTCAGCAGGCATAGCCCTTTCTTCTCTGAGTTCTGAAAGCAAGTTAAAAGCACTTTCATATGCGAAATAATCTGTTATCTTAAAGATACTGCTTCTTCCAGTGCCTCATAATACCCATTTCTCATTTTATTCTGAGTTATAGTTAATAATTTTACTGAAATCCACTCAATCCTAGGCCATCCAAAAACCAAAGCCTTCATAACTCATGGTGGAAGCAATGGCGTTTATGAGGCCATCTATCACGGGATCCCTATGGTGGGCACTCCTTTGTTTGCTGATCAAGATGATAACATCGCTCGAATGAAAGTCAAGGGAACAGCTGTCAGGTTGGACTTCGAAACAATGTCATCAAGAGATTTGCTCAACGCATTGAAGGAAGTCATTAATAATCCTTCGTGAGTACATATATCAGTTCAGTTCAGTTCAGTACATATATATATATGTTTTTTTTGTTTTTGTTTTTTGTTTGTTTGTTTGTTTTACTAGCTAATCCTTCTAGAGAAGTTCTCATCTGATGATCGGGTAGGCAGCCATGAGTTTTCACATAAGCACAATGAGGTATAAGATTTGCTCAATGCTTTGAAAACAGACAATAATGGGTTGTGAGTGTCACATTAAGATTTTTTCATGGTTTTATGGAAAAGTTTTGTCAGTGGTTTAAAGATAGTGGAGAAATTTTGAAAAACTTAATCATTAGAATGCGAAGAACCACTGAAATGGTAATAGAAGGATTAAGAAGCACAGAGAACAGTTACTGTAGGGAACTGAAGGGTTGTTGCTGAATGATAAGATGCGGGATTCTTGGCCTCCAGAGGAGACGAATTCAACCCACGGCCAGAGACTAGGCTGGATCGCTCAGAGCTTTTGTGTAATAAAGTTTTATTAAAGTATAAAGGAGATAGACAAAGCTTCTGATATAGGCATCAGAAGGGGGCAGAAAGAGTATCCCCCTCCTAGTCTTTAGCTGTCAGTTATATAGTCACTCACAGTCTGTTAATGAAAAGAAAGCAATGTCTTAAAATTAAGAATGGCACCAGATAATTCATGCCTGGCCATAAAATGATTGACTTGAATCTGGTAGAAGGGCAGATTCCCAAACAAATAGTTTCATTTACACGGATTAGGGGAACAATGTTTGAGTAAGTAGGTTGGGTCCTTTGGCAGAACTTACAGAGTCTGAAGTAAATTAACATATCTTAAGACAAACATTTCCATAAGAAAAAAATGTATTGGTTAACTCAAGGTTTGAGTCTAGTTAGCCTCAGGTGAAACCAGGTGTCATGGCAACACAGCATTTTAAGAGAAACCTCCTTTTAAATTTGTATAGAGAAGAAAAAAAAATCGCTGGTTTGTTCCTCCTGCTGTTTAAGAGAGATAAAAATGTCTGACACTTGCAGCCTATTTCCTCCATATGGAGACCCTTGGCCTTTCTGCCTGTTACGCTCTCAGAACCATGAATGCTGTGGTTCCTCATCTGCCCACTCTACTCTCTTTCAGCATGTGAACTTCTCAAAGGTTTTAAACTCTTAAAAGATGGTTTATTTTCAGTAAACCACCATGACATAATCCATTTCAAATTCTGATTACATTTAATATTTTCCAAGTTTTCTATGCTAATATTTTGACTCCATCTCTGATAAAGGATAAACAGCTATAACTTTCTAATTACCCAGTTTCAACTATGCATATACTATTTATGAAGGTGGATATATTCTTGGGCTTTTTTTACTGTGGTCATTTTGTCTTGTTTGGAGGAATTATAAAATCGAAACATAATTGACTTGGGAGGAGTATGTTGAGGTGAAAAAGTGGAAGTGTTGTGTTCGACTCCTTGGGACCCCATGGACTGTATCCCACCAGGCTCCTCAGTCCATGGAATTTTCCAGGCAAGAACATGGGAGTAAGTAGCCATTCCCTTCTCTGGAGAATCTTGCTGACCCAGGTATCAAACCAGGTCTCTGCATTGCAGGCAGATTCTTTACATCTGAGCCACCAGGGAAGCCCATATGTTGGGATATTCCTTTTTTTAAAAATGCTACACAATTTTTAGAGGTTATTTTCCATTTAAAGTAATTACCAAATAGTGGTTAAATTTCCAGTGTGGTACAACACCTCCTTGAGCTTATATCATTCCCAATAATTTTGCCTCCTACTCCCCCACCCATGTGTTTCTACTCCCCCAAATTTGGTAACCAATAGATTGTTCTCTATATCTGCTGCTGCTGCTGCTGCTAAGTCTCTTCAGTCATGTTCGACTCTGTGTGATCCCATAGACCACACCCTACCAGGTTACGCCGTCCCTGAGAGTCCCAAGGCAAGAACACTGGAGTGGGTTGCCATTTCCTTCTCCAATGCATGAAAGTGAAAAGTGAAAGTAAATTCACTCAGCCGTGTCCAACTCTTCACGACCCCATGGACTGCAGCCTACCAGGCTCCTCCATCCATGGGATTTTCCAGGCAAGAGTACTGGACTGGATTGCCATTGCCCTCTCTGCTATATCCACTAGTCTGTAATAATATTTTGATCCCATCATTGATAAATGGTAAGCAACTAGAATTTTATAATTTACTCAATTACAACTATGTAGAGACAGACTATTAATTTAAGTTTATTCAGAGTTCTTTTATTTGTGCTCGTTTTGGTCTTATTTGGAATAGATAGTTATGTTGGGATATCCCTATTTCAAAGCCACATTTTCTGAAAAGAGAAATATTTGCTTTCCAAATCACTTCAGGATATACATGAATTTCAATGACACAATTATATTAATATCACAAATATGATGTATATATTCCCCTTTTTTTTTATCATAATGACTTTGTAAAGAAAACGTTTTGAGAATGTGTCAGTAAAGGCAGCAAAATGCATTTTGTGTTTTATAAGCAGTGTTATTTAAATTTAATTTTAGCACAGCTATTTTCCTAAGTGAGCAGCATAAAAAGCACTTTTTTTCTTTCTTTTTTTTTAAATTTTCTTATTTTATTTTTTCCCAGTTACTTTTATTTGTTGGAGGCTAACTACCTTACAATATTGTAGTGCTTTTTGCCATACATTGTCATGAATTAGCCATGGATTAACATGTGTTCCCCATCCCGAAACTCCCTCCCACATCCCTCCCCATCCCATCCCTCTGGGTCATCCCAGTGCACCAGCCCCGAGCACTTGTCTCATGCATCCAGCCTGGACTGACGATCTATTTCACACTTGATAATATATATGTTTCAATGCTGTTCTCTCAGATCATCCCACCCTCGCCTTCTCCCATAGAGTTTAAAATTCTGTTCTATACATCTGTATCTCTTTTTCTGTCTTGCATATAGGGTTATCGTTACCATCTTTCTAAATTCTATATACATGCGTTAGTATATGGTATTGGTCTTTATCTTTCTGGCTTACTTCACTCTGTATAATGGAATCCAGTTTTATCCACCTCATTAGTACTGATTCAAATGTATTCGTTTAAATGGCTGAGTAATATTCCATCGTGTATATGTACCTTGGCTTTCTTATCCATTCGTCTGCTGATGAGCATCTATGGTGCTTCCATGTCCTGGCTATTATAAACCATGCTGTGATGAACATCGGGGTACACGTGTCTCTTTCAGTTCTGGTTTCTTCAGTGTGTATGCCCAGGAGTGGGATTGCTGGGTCATATGGCAGTTCTATTTCCAGTTTTTTAAGGAATCGCCACACTGTTCTCCATAATGACTGTACTAGATTGCATTCCCACCAAGAGTGTAAGAGGGTTCCCTTTCCTCCATACCCTCTCCAGCAATTATTGCTTGTAGACTGTGGTATAACAACCATTCTGACTGGCGTGTAACGGTGCCTCATAATGTTTTGATTTGCATTTCTCTGATAATGAGTGATGTTGAGCATCTTTTCAGGTGTTTGTTAACCATCTGTATGTCTTCTTTGGAGAAATGTTTGTTTAGCTCTCTGGCCCATTTTTTGATTGGGTCATTTATTTTTCTGGAATTGAGCTGCAGGAGTTGCTTGTATAATTTTGAGATTAATCCTTTGTCTGTTGCTTCATTTGCTATTATTTTGTCCCATTCTGAAGGCTGTCTTTTCACCTTGCTCATAGTTTCCTTTGTTGTGCAAAAGCTTTTAAGTTTAATTATGTCCTATTTGTTTATTTTTTCTTTTATTCCCAATATTCTGGCAGCTGGGTCATAGAGGATCCTGCTGTGATTTATGTCAGAGAGTGTTTTGCCTATGTTCTCCTTTATGAGTTTTATAGTTTCTGGTCTTACATTTAGATCTCTAATCCATTTTGAGTTTATTTTTGTGTATTATGTTAGAAAGTGTTCTAGTTTCACTCTTTTACAAGTGGTTGACCAGTTTTCCCATCACCACTTGTTAAAGAGGTTGTCTTTTTTCCATTGTATATTCTTGCCTCCTTTGTCAAAGATAAGGTGTCCATCGGTGCGTGAATTTATCTCTGGGCTTTCTATTTTGTTCCATTGATCTATATTTCTATCTTTGTGCCAGTACCATGCTGTCTTGATGACTGTGGCTTTGTAGTAGAGCCTGAAGTCAGGCAGATTGATTCCTCCAGCTCCGTTCTTCTTTCTCAAGATTGCTTTGGCTATTCGAGGTTTTTTGTATTTCCATACAAATTGTTAAATTATTTGTTCTAATTCTGTGAAGAATATCATTGGTAGCTTGATAGGGATTGCACTAAATCTATAGATTGCTTTGGGTAGTATGCTCATTTTCACAGTATTGATTCTTCCAATCCATGAACACGGTATATTTCTCCATCTATTTGTGTCCTCTTTGATTTCCTTCATCCGTGTTTTATAGTTTTCTATGTATAGCTCTTTCTTTTATTTAGGTAAATATACTCCTAAGTATTTTATTCTTTTTGTTGCAATGGTGAATGCTATTGTTTCTTTAATTTCTCTTTCTGTTTTCTCATTGTTAGTGTATAGGGATAAAAGGGATTTCTGTGTTTTAATTTCATATCATGAAACTTTACTATATTCATTGATTAGCTCTAGTAATTTTCTGGTAGAGTCTTTAAGGTTTTCTATGTAAAGGATCATGACATCTGCAAATAGTGAGAGTTTTACTTCTTCTTTTCCTATCTAGATTCCTTTTATTTCTTTTTCTGCTCTGATTGCTATGGCCAACACTTCCAAAACTATGTTGAGTAGTAGTGGTGAGAGTGGACACTCTTGTCTTGTTCCTGATTTTAGGGAAAATTCTTTCAATTTTTCACCATTGAGGATAATGTTTGTTGTGAGTTTGTCATATATAACTTTTATTATGTTGAGGTTTGTTCCTTCTGTGCCTGCTTTCTGGAGAGTTTTTATCATAAATGCATGTTGAATTTTGTCAAAGGCTTTTTCTGCATCTATTGAGATAATCATATGTTTTTTATCTTTC